GAGATTCCTCGAAACCCAACTTTTCTTCGTATACTCCCTGCTAGCCACTAGATACTCAGACTTGACAGACTAAGCGATCACTACTTGCTCCGTAAATGCCTTGTGAAAAAGAGCCCATAATTGCAAGCATCAATGTTTAGACCAGTTACCAATGCTCAAGTCCCTCTTTCAGATGCTATTTGAATGCGTGAAGATGTGCTCACCTTGCGGCCAAGAAAAAAGACTTCTTTCTGAACTGCGCTGGGGGCATTGGCACTCGAAACAGGGAGAAGAAGAGTCAGCTTTTGCCAACCCGCAGCTTTCCGGACAGTAGGGGGATGGTGGGCAGGCGACAAAACCGCCAGTTTGGACGTCAATGGGAGCCGAGTCAGAGTCCGGCATGAGGATGTCAATCTTCGAGGTGTCATGCGCGGATTCGAAGGTCTTCTCGCCAGAAGGTGCGTCGAACTAGTTGAGAGGTGAAAAGAATGAGAAAACAGTTTACTGATCGAGTAGTCGGCAAGATTTTTAGCTATTTCTTCGACTCACATTGCACAGAGTATGCGACCCGCAGCAAACACATTGAGCCTTACCATTGCCTCTTTAATGGCAACACAAAGGTTCAATCGAAGATATGAAGACCAAGATGGTGTGGCCTTTTGTGTGGTCGCAGTCTCCTTTCGTTGTATAGAAGTTGTCTGACCTCGTTTTCGCAACTTGGTCATGTTGGTAGGAAGACTTAGAGGAACGCAACTAGTCCGGACTCCATTGTCTGCATCATCATTTCCAAAGTTGAACCGTGGACGTGGTACATTATCAAACATTTTGCCGTCATCGTCAGTGAGTATCGCCATTCTTAGCACCACACAACAACTCATCCAAGAGACAAGTGAAGCCGATCGTTTGACCAAACGTGTGCTAAACAATTGTGGTATCTCCCCTTCTGCCATACCGGAAACGCGAATAACCCAGGGCAGAAGGGAAGATACCACACTTGTTTTCACACGTTTGGTCAAATGATCGGCTTCATTTGTCTCTAAGAATGGCGAAACTCACTGACGATGCCGGAGAAACGTTTGGGAATGTACCACGTCCACGGTTCAACTTTGCAGATGATGATGCATACAATGAACTCCGAATCAATTTGCGAAAACAAGGTCATACAACCTCTATACAATAGTTTAATGCTGAATTAGAAGAGACGATGTGAGACTTAGCTATCGCTAGGTCTGCAGGCTTACAGAATGAAACATGCTAGCTTAGTCGCTAAGCGACTTCTCGTTAGCGTAATCAAGTAGTATATACACAATGGATTAGGACATGGAAGATCATAGACTTGGCATTATAGCCATAGCAGGACGATGGATGTGGGGGAGACTAGATATAGTTGGCTAGCAATAGGCGTAGACCGTGAAGTAAGGGCTTGACCACGAGATTTCCCCGGTGCACATGCGGGACAGCGACAAGGGGATCTGGAGC